TAAAATAAACTTTTTTGGGAAATTTCAGAGGTGGTTTAATATTGTTTCTTTAAAAGAGTTTCCTGGTACTTGTATGCATCATCCACTAGATGTCTCTGTTCTGATATTTGCTGCACAGATATTCACAAATCACAAGTAATAGTGTTTGACATAAATATATGACATTAGCAAAATGTACATGTGTGGTAACCATGTGCCCAAGAAATATCTAGGTTTTCAAAGGATGGGATAGGCCAAAAAAAATCATATTCAGATAGACACTATGGTACAACATGCAAAATGAAGTAAAGCTGTCTCGATAGTGATAATTCCACAGTATGATAGAAAAGCCACAATCTGACAAAATTAGAATGTCTAAAACTAAGATATAGCTATAGATCTATAGATATTAAACCTTGCTGTATAACAGTACATGATTTGAGACCCTGTTAAATAAGACGCATCCATGCTACCGAAAAATCCAGCTGGCGCTAAAACCACATAAATGCAATGATGCAGTCCAATATGTGTTCACAAAGTTAACATGGTGTGGAGCACTATAAATAGACTGATGCAGCTTTCTCAATCTGAAATGAGAAAAATATCAAAACCAAATAGAAGGATGTCCTCAAAACTTACTAACAAATAAGGAAGAACAGTTGTAAAGAGTAAACTGTCTGCGCGCATATATGTGTATGAGAGAGAGAGATTGTATACATACCCTGAACATAGTGTTTGAAATCTTGGCAGAAATCAAGTCTGATGCTGAATCTGATAATGGACCTCAATGGGCCAGCAGGGGATTGCATGATATTCCAGGAAGATATGATTTAGTGTTACATTTTTGCTGTATTTAGAAATAATAGAATAACTGAGTGCATGATACAGACCGGAAAGACTGCATGAGACAGATGTTGCGCAAAGAAAAGTGTAGCTGTGGTTTTCTGAATCTAGCTCTGTTAGATTTCAGAAATTCTCCTGGAGAAGGAACTGCCTTTCCAGACCAGCTACTGAAAGGGAGAAGAACTTAGAATCTTACAGAAGCCTTCTGTTGCTGTCAGCACCCGTGAGTTTATGGGGGACACAAACTAGAAAATTGTTCAATCTGAACAAAGATGAGATATAGCAAAACTACAGAGCATCTCCTTGCAGTGTTATAGGGAGATGGTGTTGGACGAGGATCATCAACCTGTACATATAAGTCAGTGGGAGTTTTGTGAAAAATCAGTGACACAATATGGCCCTGTGAGAATATATTGTATAATCAAAGAGTCCTTTTTGGAAGAAAAAGAAAGAGAGTGTTTCTTAAACTTAGGGCCAGATTTTTAAAACTACTTAGGTGCCTAACTCCCATGGAAATCAACAGTGCTTGTATACTTTTAAAAATCTGCCCTTAATCTCTTAAAATTATTGCTATGTTTTCATTAAAAATATTTATTTCAATTTAATTGGGGATCTAAAGATTTTTCTATTTGGTATTTTGATTATAAGCCTTTTGCACTGTTGGTACACAACCTAAATGCAAGAGAGCTCAGAAAACTACTTAGAAAATAGTGAGGTATTAATTTGATGAAAGGAAGTTTTGATACAAAAAGATATGAATAAGTGCTTTTGAAAGTGGCAGGATGATTGTGGCATTAGGAGTGCTGATGATTTTGAAATAAAAACAAATTCAGTTATCATGGTTGTAAAGTAATTTCTGAGATTTGTAAAATACATTTTAAAAAAAAGTAATCTCTATTTTATATTTTTCCTTTTATTTTTTGGTTTCATTAACTTGTATTACAATGATTGTGTTTAATTTACCTAAACTGTTAAAGATGGAACACACAACTTAAAAAACATCTCCATGTATTCAAATATCCCACACTGTTCTTTATGATTTCATGGGTTATATCTTTGATATTTGGATTTTAGTGCCAATAGTGGTAGGCACCAGGAGAAATGCCAAACATAAGAAACTGAAATTGTGGGGAGACCTGGTTCTGGGGTACAGCAAAGCGATGAATATTCTTCCTCAATTGTTTTCTGCTCTTAAATTAAGAATGATATTGTGGTTATTGTTCCTACAGATGTAAGGTGATGTCTTATCGACAGAATGTGCCAAAACTCAGTATTTATAACACTTAAATTTATTACACAGATTCTTAAGGGTCCATGAAAAAAGCGACAGAGTCCTGTGGCACCTTATAGACTAACAGACATGTTGGAGCATAAGCTTTTGTGGGTGAATACCCAGTTCGTCAGATGCATGTAGTAGAAATTTCCAGAGGCAGGTATAACTGCAGGCAAGAATCAGTCTAGAGATAATGAGGTTAGTTCAATCAGGGAGGATGACGCCCTCTTCTAGCAGTTGAGGTGTGAACACCAAGGGAGGAGAAACTGCTTTTGTAGTTGGCTAGCCATTCACAGTCTTTGTTTAATCCTGAGCTGATAGTGTCAAATTTGCAAATGAACTGAAGCTCAGCAGTTTCTCTTTGAAGTCTGGTGCTGAAGTTTTTATGCTGCAGGATGGCTACCTTTAAATCTGCTATTGTGTGTCCAGGGAGAGCATGAACAGGTGGGAGTTGTCTTACCAACTCTGAGAGGCCAATTAAGTAAGAGAAAAAAAACTTTTGAAGTGATAATCAAGATAGCTCAGTACAGACAGTTTGATAAGAAGCAAGTGTGAAAATACTTACAAGTGGAGATAGATTCAACATTGATTATCATCTCCACTTGTAAGTATTTTCACACTTGCTTCTTATCAAACTGTCTGTACTGAGCTATCTTGATTATCACTTCAAAAGTTTTTTTTCTCTTACTTAATTGGCCTCTCAGAGTTGGTAAGACAACTCCCACCTGTTCATGCTCTCTGTATGTGTGTATATATATCTCCTCAATATATGTTTCACTCTATATGCATCCGAAGAAGTGGGTTGTAGCCCACGAAAGCTTATGCTCTAATAAATTTGTTAGTCTCTAAGGTGCCACAATTACTCCTGTTCTTCATTCAGAAAGTGTTGATTTTGACAATTTTCTGATTTTTCCAATCAGGAGAATGAAAATGAATATTTTTATTTCAAGTCAATATTTAAAAACAAAATTATGTTTTTCATTTCAACATTTACAATTCTAAACTGCTTGGAATTTTTAATTTGATACTTTCACTTTCCATTAAGATTTGTAATGGAAGCTAATTTGGAAATGTCAAAATTCCTTACAGCAGGAAGAAAATTCTGTTTCTTGATCAACTCTAGTCATAGGCAGTTAATGTTGCATAGTAGCTAGAAAGAACTGGGGGTGTGGGATAGCTGACTGCATTTAAAGTTTGTATGCAATGTTGTTGTAGCCATGTTGGTCCCAGGATATTAGAGATAAGGTGGGTGAGGTAATATTACCACACCCACTTTGTTTCAGCATTTAAAGGGACACTATCAATCTCAAAATTTCACTTCTGCCTGTAAATATTTTACACGCTCTTGTTACAAATATACCCTAAAATTACACTAACAAAGAGATTAGAGGAATAAAACAGATTTTTTTTTTCAGTTTGTTTACATTGTGCATTTGGTAACAGCTTAGTTTACAATCATTTTCACTTTTAACTCTGTATATTCTGCTATCAGTTTCCCTTCTTCTTGATGTGGGGCTTTCGGGTTAAAACAAGGGAAAGATGTAAAAGTAAGATGGCATGAGTGTAAAACCACAGACACTGGCAGAGGGTCTCAATGGGTGGCATACTACTTTATTTTTTGGTCTAGATTAGATTTCAGGTTGATACCCATCAGCAGGTTAAAGAGATGTCAGTTTTAAAAATTGATTGTTATAAGTACATTTCTTCACCTATGCTATATATACACCATGAGTGCAAATGAAAGCCCATTAAAAATCGAATTTACTTGTCATTATTTGAGCTCTTAATTGAGAATATGCATTTCCTTCAGCTTGAAATATGAAAGTTAATAAAGTCAAATCTACATTTCTTTTCTTCTAAAGATTGCTTCACTTTGAGGTTCTTAGTGCTGTAAACTTTGTTTCAGACTCGGGGAGGGATGTTTATTTGCTTACTAAGCATTGTTTTCAGGGAGATTAGTGTAAAATTCTGAAAACATTAGTGTTTTGCTTTTTTGAAAGTTCATTTTTACAAAATTTTAAGTTTGTGCCAAATGAAAGTGGATAAGGCCTTCTAAAATGTAAACATCCCTGGTTGTATTGTATAACTCCAATTTGATAAGTCTTCCATTATAGCAGTCAGCAAAATATTTTTCAGAATAGATTGTTTTATTCACAAATGACTGAAGGGTGGACACTAAGTTTTTTTTTCAGACTGGCTATTTGGAGGTTTTTTTAAATTAATTTCACTCATTTAAGACAAAATGCTGAAATACATTAATCCAAGATAGGGAGTGTTTCTTCCCCACCCAAATCAAATTTGTTTCAGAACTGGCTTTTTGGCAACACTTCACAGTTATGTTGATTATCAGGGTGGCCAAACTCTTTGAAGTGAGGTTGAGCGGGGCACTTCAGTTGCCTCAGGACGGCTGTGAGGTTACAGGCTGGATCTTTGCTTGCCTCATGATTTTAGCTCTTACTCCATCTTCCCTTCTGGCACCCATCCCTTGAATTTGCTTTGCGCTGAACTCATCTCCAGCTGACTCTATCATATTCACTCATGGTAACAGCAGAAGCAAATGGAAGAAAGGGGTTGCTGCTCGCATGGGTGCTAAGCTGTGGATAACGGAAGGCCAGTTTAAATACATTGGGCCGGCCCTACCTAAGATGGCGCCCTGGGCGACGCTGGGGTGGAGCTCGCCCGGGGGGCGGAGCGGGGGCGATGATGGCGGACCGAGGCTGGGGGCGGAGCGGAGGCTGGGGGAGGAGCTGGGCGGGAGGCGGGGCTGGGGCGGAGCGGAGGATGGGGGCGGACGGAGGCTGGGGGAGGAGCTGGGCGGGAGGCGGAGGATGGGGGCGGACAGGGGCTGGGGGAGGAGCTGGGCGGGAGGCGGAGCGGGGGATGGTGGCCGAGTGGGGCTGGGGGAGGAGCTGGCGGACTCGGAGGTGGAACGGTTGGAGGGGCAGGCGGCGCGGGGGATGGTGGCGGACCGCGGCTGAGGTGAACAGGGCGGAGCCGGGCTAGGGGGTGTCTGTTATTCTGACACTTCGTAGAGCGAGCCGCCCCCCCCCCCCCTCCCGTGCACGGTGCCCTGAATGGTCGCGCAGCCCCCCCCATAAGGCCGGCCCTGGCTACTGGGCCACATGTGGTTTCTGGAGTGTGCTTTGGCCACCCTTGAATCTGGTGTTTATTAGGTTTAGTTAGACAAGTTTTGTCTTTGCTTCTCTCTGGCACTGAATTAGCATGTTGAAGAACAAAATGTTCCCGAAGAAGCGAGAACTTGATTTGCAGAAGGGGTGTGTGTGTATATATGTGTGTGTATGTATATACACGCACATCCTTCTTCCGTAAATTAAGTCCTCGCTTCTTATAGAGAGAGGGGGCTTGGCTAGTGTACTAAAGATTTTGACATTTTGTTTGTTTGTAAGTGGCATCTATAGGCTTTGAAAAACAAAACACTGTTAAAATAAACCTCCAAAAGTCAAAGCCAACCTAATTAGCTCAGTAAGTAGCTATCAGGAATGACTCTTCTCACAGAACTTTTGTCTGTTTTTAACAGCTTTAATTGAATAAAACAATGGCAACTGCTGATAGTGAGACACACAATCCCCTGGAACCTAGAATCCCAAAGCTACAGTTTGTTCCCTTCACCAGTGCCTTGGATGCGGGATTCTGGCATGAGCTGACGCAGAAGAAACTTAATGAGTATAGATTAGATGAGACTCCGAAAGGTATCAAAGGCTACTACTATAATGGTAGGTAGAAACTGAACTTTTATTAGGCATACCAGATTTTCTCCTGTTGTCTTTTGTTTAATTATATTTCTGTTATAAGAATTTGTACTGCATGTACAAAATATTCCACAGTCGTAATAAGGGATAGAAAAAAGATCACATGAGTTGTATTTGGATATATAATCTGTGACTATATGAAAAACTAGAGATTCTTATCCTATTCACATTTACTTCAAAGGGAACAGGATTGGACCCTTGATTCAGGAAACTATATTTGGTCTGTTGTTTTTATTGTGACATAGTTGCTGCTGCTGTTATTTAAAAGAAACTTTGTTTTTGTCCAGGTGATCCTTTTGGTCTCCCAGCTCGTTTAACGTTGGAGTTTAGTGCCTTTGATGTGTAAGTATTTTATGTGATTTTGAAGTTTAAAAAAATGGTGGATAACAATATAGTTACACTTAATTGACAAATCACTTATGAATATGCTTGGTGTGCATCTTCTAAGAGTATTAGCAAAATTTTAATGAGGATCTATTCACATTTTGATATCTCAATGTGATTTTCATAATTGTCCTCACTAATGACTTTGAAAAGATAGGTTTCAGAGTGGTAGCCGTGTTAGTCTGTATCAGCCAAAACAACGAGGCGTCCTTGTGGCACCTTAGAGACTAACAAATTTATTTGGGCATAAGCTTTTGTGGGATAGAGCTACCACTGGAATTATTTGCCTGCAGGAGATTGTAAATGTCACATTGAAACGCAACAAAATCATCTCAGAAAACACCATTTAACATCGGGACTGAAGAAAATTGTGAAAAACAAAAATTGTGTGTAACTTGATATCAGGGCTATTTTAATGTTCTGATGGCAATATTACAACAACCAAGTGTTCACTTACGCAGTGAGAGAGAATTCCACTGCGGGAATTACTGGGTGGAAGAATTCTCTGACCTGTCTTATGCAGGAATTCAGACTACATGATCAAAATGGTCTCTTCTGACTTTAAATTTTGTGGAAGTTGCATGTCCTGTATACTTATAATGTACCTTTTCTGATAATCATTAAGGCCTTGGTCTTGCAAACACTGCAGACTCATGGAAGTCATTGAACTACTCACATCCATTGAATAAAGCAAATATATAAGTATTTGCAGTATTGCAGCCTAATTTACTAAACTACATATTCTACCAGTAAAGAAATGGAATAAAACACACTAATATCTATAAGGAGCATTGTCTAGTTAATGTTGCTATAGGTAACAAAACTTTTGGATTTTCTGACTTTAACTGTTCAACATTAGTACTGTGTTTTATGTTCACTTTGGGATGTCTTTGTTTTTAACTTATCACTTTTAACTGAATCACCTTTTTTTTATTTAAAAGAAAAAAAAATATTTTTTAAAAAAAAGTATCTCAGAGGTTCCCCAAGAGACTCTGCACTGAAAATCATAGTGCTCATGAAAAATTTACATTATGATGTGACATTTGAACCTCCCTGCACCTTCTAGAGACAATAAGTGATTAACTGCAAGGATGTGGAAAATGCAGTAGGCAAGGAATGTCTTGCAGGCTTTTATGAATAATAGTAGTAATTTTATTTAAAAAGACCATCAGTGAGCAGTACACTTAAGCAGGTGCTTAAGCTGATTCCCATTCGTTAAAGCAGTAAAGCACATGCTTTGCTGAATCAGGGACAAAGCATCTCAACTTCTATTAGGGGTCTGAAGTACAGGACAGAAACTTCTAAATTAAATTTAAATGCTATAAACAATATTTGGGGAAAACCCAGAGGACTCAGCAGTAATTATACATAAAAACACCTCCTTAAAAGGCAGAATTCTCATATGCTTTTGAACAGTTGGGAGGATGCCATTGAGGCAGGTCAAACTCTACACATGAGTCTGTCTATCTTCATAATCTTTGTTAGAAGCATAAAACTAAATTTTTTCCAGCTCTTTCCTATCTCCAATACCACAGCAGCATTTGTCATTGTGTCGTGAGGTGTGCTCTGCATTTCTAAGCCTTCAGTTGATCAAATCATCCTAACAATTACTGAGTTGCATGTCTAATTTGTCCATGAATGGAAGAGCATTTTTGTAACTGCCTGCAAGCGTTCTGAGTGGAACTGTCCTTGACTCGCCTTCTGCCTCGTTGTGATGTATAGAGTCACCACTCTGCTTGGAAAACTCTGCATCATTGGGGCTTAATGTGAGAGTTCCCATTGGTTACTGTTAATGAAAATTCTGGAAAAAATGCTAGTATGTGGTTCCAAGAGTGTCCTTGTCTCCTGTCTAGGAATGCTGCCACCCCAGCACACTGCTGTCCTGCTGTCGGAACATTATATAACACCAACACTTTTGAATCTTTCAAATCCTGTGATAAGAAGTCACTTTTGGAAAAAGCAGCAAATGAGGTGAGGTTAACAATTAAATACATTTACAGAGAAAACAGGATTTGGGGAAAGCTAGTGAACTACTTTGCAGTTTGAGTCCCAGGCAATGGAGAGACTATCATCCCCCACTGACCCATCTAACCCCGGCTTTGGGATACAGTTGCTTTGGGAGGAGGCAGTTTGGTGTCTTCTGCTTGCTTCTGATCACCTCTGGACAGCAGCAGTTAGATGATGATGCTCAGTAACCTCCATGCTGAGTCCTGCCTCTCATCTGTCTAATCTTAGCAGCACTCTTGGACTTGCCCAGTTACTTGCATTCCAGGGAGCATTGCTTTTGTGAAACCCAGAAATCAGCTCCTGCTTGCTTTTGGGATTCAGATTATCACAGTGCACTCTGGGGCGTAAGTAATGGCATGAAGACTGAGGAGATGCAACAGCAAAGAGGTTACTCAACCTGACCTTCAGCTGGTTCCACTGGAGGGGAGGAGGTACAGTTGTCTGCTCCTTGAAGAGAACTTGTACGAGAAGTTACTAAATAAAGTGAAGTGGCTGAGAGAGACTTACACACTTAAAAAAAAATTGTTTGAATTTACTTATTATGCTCATCCCTAGATTCCCTAATTAGGTTGCCCTAGGTCAGGATAATAGAGTTTTCACCCATCTTCTCATTCAAAGTCATTAATTATTTTCCCTCTTGTTGTGACCTAGTGCTCCTTTACCATGTGATGGTTATGATGCAGTAATCTTGATGATGCCTCTTAAAGAGAATTAGAGAAGTCAAAAAATGTAACCTATCCTAGACTTTTTCTTTGTGTGGTTGGTGTGTGTGTGTGTCTCTCTCTCTCTCGTACGTGCGTATGGCATCTGCAGAGCAACATTCTATAGATAAAGTTGTAGGTCCATAAACCATTTCAAGGCCGCCTCTACGACTTGTGGATATCATTCAGTTCACCTCTGAATCCATATTTGGGGGACTTCATTATGATGTGTTTGATGGTTTGGATGTTCTCTGTAGTTGCACGAAGGGGAGTCTTTGATTTTCCACTTGTGCATCAGGTAGCCTCATTTTCCATGGTTCGTTCGGATGCGTTTCAATGTGGTCCAAAGTCTGTGTGGCAGGTCAAAACTGGGAGGGTTGCTAGTTGGGTCAATAATGTGCAAATTACCCAAGAGTGACTCTTGAAGGGCTGACTCCAGCCTCCTTTCCTCCTCCCCCACTTCTTTGCTTTTTCCTCCTGGATACAGAGACATGAGGTGATCACGTGTGGTCCATAGTGGTTTTCGCAATTTCAGGCATGGTTGGGGTATGTTAACCGTAACCTGGTGGATGGGAAGTTCTGGGGAGCCTTCGGCGGGTTTAAGTTTTTGTGCTATGGCTATATCTCAATGGATAGCTGGAGGTTCAATGTTTGCTAATACAGAAAGCCATGGTAGATTTTTCTTAGTGACCCCTTGATACTGAAAATCCTGTCAGCCCTCTAAACAAGGGCTGCAGTACTGTTTATAATCCCAACTCTTTGTCCCACAAACATCATATTCAGCAGACTGGTGTAGCCTTCTATTTTATTTAAAGTGAATTTAGTAATGTTGTATTACACCTCTGAGCATTTGGCTCTAGTTGCTAAAGTTTCAAGCTCAACAGAATGAAAGTCACCTCTGCTACTTGTTTCTGATTTAGAGCTTCTAGGAACACATGAAGACCAAGGAAATAACACATACATTCACAAGTAAAACGTCTATTCTGCCTTATACGTTTTATTAAAGTCACAAGCAAAGTTATGATTATCCAAGCATATATAAATCCTACAAACAATCATGCACAAGTAACAAATATAGTCATACTCACATCCTCAAAGATATTTTTAGAGTCTGATGGATTCCTCACCAATTGATAATCAGTGAAGGAATGTTTCCTGCTGGAGTTTTCACAAAGGTAACTCATTTTATTCAATTAGGGGAGTCCTCTTTTATCATGTGAATCTGACTATATCTAACTCTCTGCATGTGCATAAAGGTGTCAACCCTCTTTTCCCTTATCTGTATTGTGCCCCCAAGAATATTGGAGTGCCCCATTTTTCATAGGTTTTAGTTCCTTTTATTCTTCTTAGAATCTACGCACATGCACCTTGTAATCAGGACACTTGTTGGAAAAATGTTACAGTAAGGTTTCTCTTGATTTCGAACAGTACATCAAGGTCAATTTTTTTTCAACATCATCTGTTGACACATCTTTCTCGTGATCTTGTGGTGTAGGGTCACTCTTTTGTCACTTACTTATGTCAAGCATTTCTTAAGCTTATGGCCTAGTATTGCTAAGCTGACATTTTACAGGGCTCAGCCTGTAGGCCTTTCGTTTCAGTTCTGCTTTACTTAGAAACCTAATGCATACTTTTCACTTCTAAATACTTCTCAATCTCATACTTATATGAACCTACAATTTAAATCTACTTAGCATACCATGATTATATATAGACATCGTATATGAGTTAATCATAACCACACAATATACAACAAATGAATGCAAAAATGAACTAATTGGCTACATTTGGGTTTGTTTCTAACTGTGCACAGCATGCCACCTGTCTGCACTTCCAGACTTTTTCGTATTTGTGATCCTGCCACTGGGATTTTTGTCAGTTTCAGTACCCTGCATATCGCAAGGATGAGAGATCTAGGAGAACAAACCAACCCAATGCTGCTGTGTTGGTTATGGTTCATCCATGTGAGGGGCTGTTGCTGTAGGAAAAAAACATATTAATTGTTATCATTTTTATGTGTAACTTTGTAAAACCTTCAAAATTTAAGCCTAGATGTCTGCTGATATAGGTTGTGTCTGTCATATGGGAGATGTAGTTCTGGATGAGGTCTGTGCTTCTGATCCTTACCTGGCAGAATAAAAGTGAAATGTAAAGCCTATAATAGTAGAACTGTCATTTGTAATTCCCAAGACCCCAGGACAAACCAGAGCTTTGTTGAAATGCCTGCTTATGGGGTGAGCATTTATTAGAGCATGGGCTGAATTAAGTAGGGCAAAATCATACCTAAATTACTGAGAATATTACTTAATCCTGCCTTGGCACAAGGAGATGGAGTAGATGATCTCTTGAAGTCCCTTCTAGCCCTACATGTCTTGTCTATGATTAGTTTGAGCTTTTAACATATATGGAAGAAGGAAAGATGAATGAACCTCTCCGTATGCTTTTTTAAATTTATTTTATTTTATTTTATTTATTTATTTATTTATTTATGTATTTTGTCCACTGACAGATATGGGAGACAATAAAATCGGGGACTGCCCTTGAAAACCCCATGCTCTTGAACAAGTTCCTGCTTCTGACTTTTGCAGTAAGTAATGCAATTTATTCCATACTCTGAATAGTGAAACAAAAATAATAATGAACCATGTCAGTGAAAAATAATAATATAACTACTGTAGTTACCAGACTGCATTTCGTACATGCATGCGCTTCTCTACAAATATAAAAGTTCTTGGATTCCATATATAAAAATAAATAATGCCAATTAAACTCCTGGGTCAAGTGAAGACAATAAAAGTCAAGACTGATCAAAGAACCTGGAGGCTTGATTCACTTATTCCCTGAGCAATAAATTTGCTGGAGAGATGGGAAGGTGAGAATAAGTGCTAAAAGAATATTGCTCAACTCTTTCATCACAGGGGTACAAACACTCCTATCACAGTATAGCTCATTCAGTCAAGGCGCCGACTTTCCAAAGTTCCGGGGGGTGCTTGACCCCCAGCTCTGACCCGGACCCTGCCCCCACTCCATCTCTTCCCCCAAGGTCCCACTCCCACCCTGCCTCTTCATGCCCCTGCTCCACCCCCCTCCCTTGAGTGTGCCACGTCCTCGCTTCTCCCCACCAGAGCCTCCTGTGTGCCGTGAAACAGCTGTTAGCGGCGAGAGGGGGATGTGGGGAGGGAGAGGGAGGCGCTGTTTTGCAGGGCCCGCTGATGGGCTGGAGGCACTGGGGGAGGTGGGGGGAGCTGACAGGCGGGCTACCAGTGGGTGCTCAGCACCCACCATTTTTCCCCCGTGGGTGCTCCAGCCCCGGAGCACCCACGGAGTTGGTGCCTGTGCATTTAGTTGAATAGTGCATAACAACAGTTTATATTCTTATTTTGCCTTTCAACCCAAAGTGATTCACAACCCACATAGAAACACAAACTTTGTTTAGTAACAGTGAAGGTTGCATTAGAACACCCCAAGCACCCACTGTAGCCTACAGTACTGCAAAAATACATAACACTCCAACAAATAATGAAAAGCAATACTCACCCTAACTTCATCCAGCCTGCACTTACAAAACCTTAATGGCCGCCATCTACTCTCTTTCATCAACAGGTGGGCATGTTTGACTGTCTCACAGACCATTAATTTAGAAAGGTCTTCTGATTCAACATTGCTCAGGTCCAGCAAGTTAAAAGTTTTAACAAACATTGGCCTGGAAAACACATACTAAAGAATTGCACGCACTACACCTTAGACTGCTTTAAATATAAAATCAAAGGCTTTTGAAAAAAAGGTAGGACAGTCCAGAATTTTTTTTATCACATGGTGGTTTTTGGAATAGATTTAACTAAACTCTGGATGATTTTTCCCTTCTCTTTTCTCGCCATTCTTGCCTTCAGAGTACCACAAAACATTAATTTACCAGCTACACTAAGCATTTCAAGTTAATTCTACAATTCAAAACACACAATTTTTAAATAACTTTGTCATTGCTGCCACAATTTAAAATTCTGGCACAACCTTAACTATGGTGTAACTTTTGTGACACCACAGTGCAGAATTGAAATGTAGCCACCGTTGGGGTCAAAAGCAGCTGTTTGATGCGCAGTACACTGCACAGTAATGGAAAATGTTGATTAAGAGCAGCAGGCCAAAACTCTACACCTAAAGCAATAAACAGGAAATGATTCTTGTTGTCCGTTCAAAGCAGACAGAACCTTTTTGCAAACTGGACCAGGCTTTACACAAAGTAAGTTTCATGATACTCCATTTATCTATCTTTGAAGGGTGAGTTGATCTGATGGAAATTGAATGTTTCATTGCAAGTATCCTAGGTGTTGCGATGTTTAGATGACTAACCCTTCACTAAGTTGGGTACAAATGTTTGTCTTCTGAAGGTAGAGGAAAATGAGAAAAAATGGTTGTAATTATAAATGTAGGTTGATGTTTTCAAAGCCAACTAAGTCTTAGCCATGCAACTCCCATTGAAGTTAATGGGAGCGGTGTTCCTAAATCCTCTAGTCTGCTGTGAAAATCTCAACCAAGTATTTCTAACAGTTCCAGTTAGCCCTATATGTCAGGGTTAAGTTTACTGCTTGCTGCACCTTCTCCTTGCCTTTTATCTGCTTTCTCTCATGTAACTAACTAAGCATGTGCAAATACACCACTCCTGAAAACATATACACATGCACTGAATTTAAAGGATAGATATAGTCCTACTGAAGTTAGACCTGTGTGCATGTTTTTGCAAGATTAGGGCCATAGTTTCCTTTATTTTATAACTATTAAAAATATGTGGGTGTATTTCTCAAATTACAAGCACATACATTCTAAAATGTCTGGCTGCCTGTGTTTCATTGGTCTTCAAGGAATTTTCTTCACTATAGCTTAAAAATAGAAGTGTTGTAATGTTTAATTTTTAAGTCTGATACTTTTATCTTCCATATATTTGGCATAGCTCAAAAAGAGATTATTTTATGTTAGGACCTTTTCTCAAATGAAAAAAATATTCAAAATACCGGTATCAATTAAATGTCATGAGAAGTTAATGTATTAAACTGTTCTTTCTGATGAAAAGATTACAAATTCCCAATATAAAAGCTGAATTGTGTGTTTAATCAAGTTTCCATATACTTTGTGTATATATGTGAGAGAGAGAGAGAGAGAGAGAGAATGGATCTGTGTGGGGGTATCTCTGTATCAATATATAATAATCTCTTAATTTACTGTAGATGCCACTGCATAGATTACAGAAAATCATGACCTTTTTAATAAAGATATCCTAGAGCACAAATTATTTGATCTTTTAAAGATCAGGTCAAATTAAAACTGTGCAGAGATAATGATCTCATAAACGGTGCTTGCTTTCACTTAATGCCTGTCTGTGCTATAAGGGAATATTTAAATAAGGAAAAGTTCACCATGTTTAATCATGACAACTGTTTGTACAGAGTTGTCACTTCTGACAGCCATAGGGATAAAAAATGAGGGCATGCAGACTCAGATGTTTTGGTCATGTAAAGCGCAGTCCTGGCAACTATGTCGGTAAGAGAGACCAACAGATCAAGATGGAAGGAAAAAGACAGAGAAACCAACCCAAGAAAAAGTGGTGGGATGTCATGAAGGAAGACATGTTAGCATGTGGTGTGATAGAGGATATGGCATTGAACAGAGCACTTTAGTGGGAGAGGGCTTGTTGAGTGGACCCCAGTTGATGGGATTAACATGAAGAAGGAGAGATAAAAGTTAAGAGGTAAATCTAGGGTGATTTCTAACTGGGCTGTACTCCACATTGGTCACACATTTGTGGTGACCATTTTAAAAGCTTTCACCCATCTGGTCTATTTAAATAAAAAAAAAATTAACTAACTATATGTATGATAACGTGGCATATTTAAAACAATTTAAAACTCTAGCTTTTTTCAAAAATAGAAGCAACAGATGAGTACATCACCATAAAAGACAGTTGGTATCCTATAAGAATACGCAAAACTGATTTGTGCAGCTTTATAGTTTAACTGCATTATGGTGCTGTCCAATAAAATCGGTTTAACAGTAGAAGTGGAGTAAGTTATGTCTAGTGCAGGGATTCTGAAATATTTTATGGTGTCTCTCTTGGAGACAACCTCTCCTTCCATTCTTGATTGTATGGAAATCCTTACGCTACATATATTTGGCAATTGTAGCAATTGTTTACATTGAAAAGTAATGTTAGGATGTTATTTCTTAGGCCAGGTCTACACTACCGCGGTAGTTCGACGGCTGGCAATCGAACTTCCGGGTTCGATTTATCGCGTCTGGTCTGGACGCGATAAGTCGAACCAGGAAGTGCTCACCGTCGACTGCGGTACTCCACCTCAGCGAGAGGAGTACCGCGGAGTCGACGGGGGAGCCTGCCTGCCGCGTGTGGACTGCGTCTGAACCGCGGTAAATTCGAACTAAGGTATGTCGACTTCAGCTACGTTATTCACGTAGCTGAAGTTGCGTACCTTAGATCGAATTGGGGTGTTAGTGTAGACCAGGCCTTATATGTCTGGCTGTATTTTAATGCAATTTAGTAACTAGAAAGAAAGAGATCCAGCCTCATGTGACCAACCATCTATCCATAGACCACCAGCAACTGCTTCACAAACTTGCAGCAGTCCATGGAACACAGATTGGGAACCTCTGATGCAGCGGTTCTCAACCAGTGGCCCATGGGCTGCATGTGGCCCAATTAGCACGCTGCTGTGGCCCAGCTCAGCTGTGTGCTAAAGACTGGCCTGCGTGGCAAGGTCCAGGTTCCCGGCTGCTCGGCACGGTGGTGTTCAGGCTGCCGTGGCGGGGTTGGGACTGCCGGCCCACCCCGCGTGGTGTGCGTCTCAGGCCTTATTGCAAAATTCCATGAGGCCCCTTGGGATCTGGGGCCGCATTGCTATATTTGCCAAGAAATTAAAAAATATATTTAATAATAAAAAATGGAATTAACTCAGTTTCCTATTGTGTAATTCTTTGACACAGTTCTCATGGTCCCCTAGTCTGCAAAATACTTACACACATTCTTAAGTTTACTCCTATGGGACTGCTCACATGAGCAAAGTTAATCACCTGCTTAAGTGTTTGCAGGATCATGGCCATAGCTGTAATTGGAAGTGCTATAATCACTCAGTTTTTAAGTGGCTAGTTGGGTTAGTAATTATTTGTCTTCTAACATGTGCATATATATTTTTTTCCTCTAGGATTTAAAAAAGTATCGCTTCTATTACTGGTTTTGCTACCCTGCTCTCTGCTTCCCTGATGGCATACCTATTGTTCAGCAGGCGGTCTGCCTAGGTGAAAGGTTCTCTCCAACTCAGGTACTCAAACACCAACTGTCAAATCTTTAGTAGAGATCATTTTTTCTTGTTGCCTGTAAAACTACATATTTTGTCCTTGAACTTGCTGAGTTTTAACTAGAGTAGCTAGTTTGAGTTACTGATTTTACACTTCTATTTCTTTTTTACTTTATAAAATTCTCATTTTGATGTTTTATTGCCTCTTGCAACAATCCAGTTAGCCGAAGAGGCTAAGTATAAATCATGACTGGGCTCATTTTAGCATCTTTGGACAGAATATTGAATGTACAAAAGATTTTTAAGCATTTCATAGGCAGCGTGGTCTGGGAGAGTAGGTTGTTAATAGAGCTGATCAGGAAATAGTTTTCCCATCTTATGAGAATTTTTGAGATTCTGGAAAAGTTCCCCAAACCCACCTAGAAATACAAAAATGTATTAGATCAAGTCAGTTGAAACATGTTGATGATTTTGAGGTATTTTGTTTCAATTTTGACCATTTTAAAACGTTTTTGTACTTTTTTACTACAAATTAACATAAAATTCTAAAGAAGAAGTTGTTCAGAATCAAAAAATGGTTTTGAAAATGTCAAAACGGCAATTAAAAAAAAATCAAATTTTTTTTTAAATAGGCAGTTCATTGAAACCGATGTTCTTCCACAGTGGTTTTGGTTTATACAGATTTGCATTTTCCAATGAAAAAATGTTTCATCAAAAAATTCCTAATTAGCTCTAGTTGTTAGCCTGGGAATACTGAGCCTGGGTAGGGGCTTGCTCAGCCTTCGGAGAAATTTATCCTGCTCTCTCACCCTTTTGTGTGTCTTGTTTATTGAAAATATTAAACTCTTCAGGGCAGTGAATGTTTCTTGTGTTTGCACACTACCTAGCACAATGGGGCATGTCTGGGTACTACTGCAATACAAATAATATATATTAATAACTTTTGGGTCTAGAGAACATCATGGCTGGCCTGGAAAGAAGAAGAAGAAGGTTGACGGTATGGTGGATGATACTTTATCTGACAGGAAAGGAGGCTGGTGTGATAGCAAGATTCTGTCATCAGCAGAAACATTTGACTGATGAACTAGAGGTCAGACTTCAGAAAAGAAGGAGGTAGCAAAGAAAAAGCTGTTGGACTGTATCAGAAAGTGTAGACATGCAGAGGAAAGTCCTGAGGAAAACAGTTTAGAAAATAGGGTGACTGTTTGGCAACAGCTTCCGGCTTTTTGGTTAGAAACTGAAAATTCACAGGAATGCAATTATTTAATAACATTGATTTAAAATCAGTTTTCTTTACAGTTATGTCTTTAATAACTGTTTAGCTTTTTTGGTAGAATTTGAAACAATTATTTTACTATTCTGACTAAAATGATTGTAGATGGAGCATCTTATAGTGAAAGATGTGAGTCACTAATGAAGATTGACATTATAGGAGCGTATTGAGGATACCATAAGCCCTTTGTACTAAAAAAGGTCTTAACTGAATTTGGTAAATTGAACATGTATTTTTAAATGGTACTGTTTCATCTCAATGTGTGGACTGTGGTGGAGCCTTTTTCATTGATGGCTCAAGGTGGCACCTTTCAATTTTTTTCTTTTGACTGAAAATATGGTGATGGCTGATCTAAAGCAATGGTTCTCAAACTTATATGATTGAGCCCCCCTTTTTTATGTCTGTAGTCATTTATGCCTCCTCTCCCCCAAGTAGGTATACCTCCACCCAGCTCTGAAGGCAGAGCGGAGAGCAGTGGCTGCTGGCTGGGCGCCCAGTTCCGAAGGCAGCGCCAGGCCAGCAGCAGCACAGGAGTAAGAGTGGCAATGTGAAAAGTGATATTCGTCAATATCACTTTTCACAGCAGACTTAGTGCCCCATTGCCACCCTTACTTCTGTGCTGCTGCTGCTGCTGCCACTCTAGGGCTGATAGCCAGAGCCCTGCCTCCTCCAGGTGCAGGGTGGGAAGGAGAGCCTGAGCCTGGGGTTGCCTCCTGCTGATGGGGAGGGGAGGAGAGCCTGAGCCCAGGTGGCAGGCTCTGGCTGTCAGTCCCAGTGCGGTGGGGCTCCAGCTTTCCCCTTTATCCCGACCTCCCGGGTGTACACGGCTGTTCTGTGCAAGCGCCAGCCACCTGGGGCTGACAGCCAGAGCTCTTAACCAAAAAAACCCACGCAGATCATGCCTCCCTTGACACATTCCCACACTTCTGTTGGGAGGCCCGCCCCATTGTTTGAGAACTGCTGGTATAAAGCATTCTCATTGGAAATAAATCATCATAATCATTCTTCTAGGTTAGGAAAATGTTGGTTTAAAATATATGCCTGGATTATTTGTAGAAGTACTGTAAAAAATGTTAACACATGACTGTTCAGGGAAGAAGGGGACTAGGTTATGAGACAGAGGGAAAGTAGGAACTCCTGAGGGGAGAATGAGTCTGTTTATTCTGTGCTACAAAGGTAAAAAGAAGTTGTAGAGTTACTCAGTTGTACCCTTTGTTTTAACTGGAGTGAGTTAGTGTTGAACCGTGAAGTACTTTTAATGCCACTAGAAATTAGTGGGAAGCCGAGCCCCATAGCGAGGTATGTGGGAGAGACGCTTGGTACAACAGCGCAAACATACTACACAACGAATTTTATCATCTAACAGTGGAATACAATTAAAATATACCTCTAGAAATGGTTTAGATGTATTCTTACAAGAATGTTCTAGGTGGTTACTAATGAGTATTAGAAGAATCAGTTACCTTTACTATAGCAATTTGGATAATAACAATTGTTGTATGCAGTGTTGTTGTAGCCGCCTTGGTCCCAGGATATTAGAGAGACAGGGTGGGTGAGGTAGTATCTTTTATTGGTCACGCTGTTGTTGGTGAAAGAGACAAGCTTTTGAGCTACAGCTTCTCTGTCTCACTAACAGCAATTGGTCCATAAAAGATATTGCCTCAACCACCTTGTCTCTCTAATTAATAACAGTTGAGTATTTTGAAAGTAGGAAAGAAAGTTTAGTTTTTGTGGTTATTCATACTTCCTTTTTAAACAGAATGGAGGACTAAAGACTGTTTCTCTAAAAAAAACACATAGTTTATGTAGGATGGTATTCAGTGGTACAGTTAAAGTGTAGATGTCAGGATCCAAAGCTGCAATTGCAGCTGACCACTGAAAACCGATGTACCAAAGTAGCTAGAATGGATGATGCTCTTCATTATGCAGCGTCATGATCAGTGTTTACCACCATCCGATCCTGTGCTAATTTTTTTTTGTACTTTAAGGACAAAGCAGAGCTGTCAGCCCCCTCTCTCTCTAACAGTGGGACTATTATTATTTAGGGGACTTCCATATTTGCAAGTTGTTTTGGCCCTAAGAATAACACTTTAATTTTGTTTTATCTTTTTTTCCATATATCAGTTTGCAGCAGTGGCAGCAGTGCTTCTGCCTGTTTTGCATTGAAGATTTTATGGTTTTAACTTTTGCATATTAGTTCTCAGTTGCTTGGTTATAGTTTTTTTAAAACTACGGAATAAATGGTTAAGAACTCTTAGAATAGATACACTTGTGTTCAGCAAGTTAAAAGAAAAAAAGTATTACATATTCAGTTAAGAAAATATTTTTAGACTCACACAGGCACTGTTGAATTAGGATAATTCCAACAATCTGTTATGATATCTTTTTGCTTTCAGATTCAAGCGCTCCAGAAAGCATATGATGAACTTTGCCAGAGGGAAAGAGTTACTGCCTTGCCTTACTTTTTAATCAAGTATAATGACAAGTCTGTTTTGGTGTCACTGCTTAAAAACTGGAATGATTTTTTCCAAGATCAAGAGGAAAAGGTAAGTGGAATTTTGCACATATGCTCGGATGCCAGAAATATTTGTGCTGAATGTACAAACTGTTTAACCTCTCACTGGAATACTATACTGAGATCCAGTGCTTGTCCACTGAATAGAGTAGGTCAAGTCTCTGAACACCAGTTGCTCCCATTGATTACACTTGGACTTTGGGGAGCATAGCTTTAGGCATCTCAACCTGGGTATCCAAAAGTCCAGGCATCCCAAATTAGTGGATGGTTTGAAAATTTGGTACTTGAGCTCTCTATACTCATTACCCCATCTTTAAAAGAGAGATCATAAAACTTAGCTACTTTACTGGGCTGTTATGAGGATGAGTTAATAATATTTCTTAGTCACTTTGAAAACACAGCATTATGTAAGTGCAAAGCCCACCTATATTATTATGTATTTGCTTGTATGCTGCATGTAGGGGAGGAGTATGCAACAATTCATTTTTATAGTTGCTGCACTAGCTTTAAGTACACCTGGAAATGTTATAACAGTGACCTTCTACAAAAGAAAATATATAGTCCCATTATAAATTAATAAAAAATGTTAATATTAATATATTCAGCTTGTATCTTTCAAAATACCAGCAATAATACAAGAAAAACTGGCTCCTTTTTTAACTCTGCTGAAAAAAAAATCTGTATTTGAACAGTGTAAAGTTAAGTCTTTCATAGTCCTGTAGATGTGATGCAGGCTAAATGTTGGTTAGATGAGGTTGGAATGATTTTTTTATGTTGTTATGGGGAAATCATTCTCTGCATGTCTCCTTTTGAATGCAAAAAAAGCACTCTATGTTCCTTGGAGCCACAAGAGAATTTCCATCCTGATAATTCATAAAACAGAAGGCATCAAGGCAAGGGTTGACCAAGCTAGTTATACATTACGTAGTATTTATCTGTTCCATTTATCATCATGTTGTCCAGGTGCCTAGCTTTATTAGATCCTTCTGAAATTCTTCAGAGCCCTCTTTACTTTGACTAACCTTAACTCAGAGCCTTGAATAGTTTTTTGCTTTATAATGCTAAAAATTTACTGAGGAGCAAAGCTCCATAACTGAGGCTGAGGGAGAGCTAATTGTGCAGAACAGAAGTCTGTAAAGCTATTCATATCTCACACACAGGGAAGAAATTAAATAGTCATTGAAGTAGTTCAACTCTGTTTTATAACATTTGAGCTCCAATTATTTCCTCTGCTTTTTCCATTCTTTTTCTAAAATAAGGAAAATATTGTATTGTGGCTATGTAGGTATTATTTTGAAATAAGGAAACTTTAAAGACTAAATTTAAAAAGTGGCACTGTAAGTGTGATTTTGAAATACTATTAGATCATAGATACAAGCATGCCCTATCAGATGGAATCTTCCTCTATATGAGAGAAGCCTGTATCATACCAAATAAAGTCCTTTCTTAGTGTTCAGTTTGGAGGGCAATATCTGAGTTCTGTGCTTAAATCCTTTAATAAAGGATTGCCCTTGCCAGTGACTTTACCTTTACATTGACTGACCCAGCATCTATTACCCTGTCTCTTTTTATATCATGATTATCCACTATCCATCAACAGGGAGGTTTGCAAGGAATAATCTGACCACTTGGTAGGCATCTTCAGGTTTTGTAAAACTGCTTTTTGGGCTTAGATAGCTGAGGAAATGCATATGGTGCAGTGAAGTACAAGTGAATGTTAGGTGGCCAGAATGAACAAAACTGGGAGCTGTGGGAAACATTAAACTGCGTGAAATGGCATACAATATGTCAGGGGTTGGCAACCTAAGGCACGCGTGCCAAAGGTGGCATGCGAGCCGATTTTTGATGGCACGCGGTGGCGGGCTGAGCGGCTCAACCCACTGCTGCTCTGGGGTTCCGGCTGCTGGCCCGTTGCCAGCCGGGATCCCGGCCACCGGCCCCACTCAGCACCTGCTGCTGGTCTGGGGACCCCCAGGGAATCCCAGGCTGGCAGCGGGCTGAGCAGGCCAGCGGCTGAGAGCCCGGCTGTCAGGAGCTGGCGGCCGGAACCCCAGAGTGGCGGCAGGCTGAGCCGCTCAGCCCGCTGCCAGTCTGGGGTCCTGGCCACCGGCCGTGCTCAGCCCGCTGCCGGTCTGGGGTTCCATTCACTCAGCTGGCAGCGGGCTGAGCGGGGCTGGTGGTGGGCTGAGCGGGGCCGGTGGCCCGCCGCCAGCCCCGCACAGCCCGCTGCCAGCTGAGTGAATGGAGCCGCTCAGCCCGCTGCTGGTCTGGGGTTCCGTCCGCCACCTCCTGCCAGCCGGGATCCCGGCCACCGGCCCCCCTCAGCCCGCTACCAGCCTGGGGTTCTGCTCACCCAGGCCGGCAGGACGCTGAGCGGGGCCGGCGGCTGGGACCCCGATTGGCAAGGGGCTGGCAGCCGGAACCCCAGACAAGGATCCCAGGCAAGGATCACACTAAATTGATAAGATCTGCATTTTAATTTTATTTTAAATGAAGCTTCTTAAATATTTTAAAAACCTTATTTACTTTAAATACAACAATAGTTTATTTACATAATATGGACAGAGAGAGAGACCTTCTACAAACGTTAAAATGTATTACTGGCACGCGAAACCTTAACTTACAGTGAACTTGGCACACCACTTCTGAAAGGTTGCCGATCCCTGCAATATGTCATAGTTTGGTAGGCGTTGTTAATTACTTTTTAAATGCCATATGTGATTTCTTACTGACATAATGTGTAAGATAACAAGATACATTGTATTACTGTGAATCTTGTGCTGTTATGCATAGAGTTTTCAATGGGGCTATTTTGTTTGCAGGTGACGGTTGGAGTTTATGATCCCTGCAATTTTACCCAGTATCCAGGATGGCCGCTGAGGAACTTACTGGTCATGGCAGCACACAGATGGTATTGGTTTTATCTCTTATTAGATGAGCCCTTTTTTCGGCCCACCTGACTTACACAACACACCTTGAACCTTAACTTTGCCCTGAAATATGCAAAAATATATGCAAAGGTGAAAATAAGAAATTACTAGGAGTGTGTTGGAAATGGATCCCTTGAATAGGAAATATCTTAGAAATTTGTTATTTTGATCTTTCTGCATATTTTTGCAAATTTTAGTGTGCAAAGGCCAGGGACCCAGCCTGTTGCTACTTCCATATAGTCCTTCACTTCTTGGCTGCTCCCCCCTACATTCTTAATGGTTAGTTTCTAGACGTTGAGCCCTGTTTTTAAATTCTCTCCACTCCAAATCTTTCTGAAATTTTACCTGCTACATCACATTCCAGAGCAGAGATTTATTTCTGAAAAGTTTGGTAAAAGTAAAAAAAAAAAAAAAAAATCCTCTTTTGGGGGAATTTGGAGTAGAGGAGGGTTAATATCTGAGTTTATAAAGGGAACCTACCTTCAACTTAAACTAAGGAGCAGCTACTGCCACTTCATCATATAGCAGATTTCTAAGTGAGTAGAAGCAAAACCTGAAAGCGAGTCTAGTCTCTGGATTTGTTGTGTAGCACCGACTGATTGAGGATGCTAATGTGTGCAAGTGCCCTTGGAAAGCTGTTTTGCTTCAGAGAATAAAACTGTCAAATGACCACCAATGGTACATGAGCTAAAGTCTGAAGAACACATACTCTAAAGTTCTTCTGCATTGCCTGATTGAACATTTGTTTTTGGTTTATTTCACACTGTCATCTTTTGCGTTATAAAATACCATCCATCTAACATTGGGTTGTTTGATTAATTTAAGCTGCAACTTCAAATTTTTGACATTCTAGTAACGTGTAATGAGATAATAAACCTTCAATTAACCATGTTAACAGTGGCATTTTCAAGGCTGCTAGGTGAATGATAGCATAGGAGGGTATATCCGTGTGCATATTACTTATCTGTGCATCCTGTGGGGATATGAGAATCCCAAATTCCGTTATTTGCCAAACACCTAATTCTTTTACTTTGATGCTCAGCAGTGAGTGAATATGAATAATGGGTGCAGAGCTAAGTTGGTGAAGGGGGAGGAGACAAAAACTGAATCAGATCAAGGATTCTGAGGAGTGTGCTAAGTCATGGAGGAGGTAGGATGGCACCTCCTGCTGCACTGTCATTACAACTTTATTACGCTGTACTCTGGGGCTTCTCTGGTCATTATGCCTCAAAACATATGGTGCTTCTAGTTCCCAGTAACACTGTGCAGATGGGTAGTTAACAGTGTGGAAGTCCTGAGTGCAATTTCAGTGGAGCTGCACCAGTTTCCATATAACAGTGGACAGCTTTAGGTATTCATTAATCATGTTGGGTTTCTTCATATTTGATCAGATAGAAATATAGGCATGTTATCGTATATGAATCCAATACCAATGGAAGATTTGTCATAGTCTGAGTTTCCAAAGGATTAAAGCTGTATGACACTAGAGGACTAATAAAGTGAAGTTCCTGTTTGAGCATCCTTCTTTTCTGCTGGAGGAGTGCCAGATCTTTTATAACTACCTTGCTATTTATTTTTTAACGCCAGGGGTAACCACCTCCATTCAGTCGAAGTGCTCTGCTTCAGAGACAGGACCATGCAAGGCGTGAGAGACATAACACACAGCAGCATCTTTGAAATAAAGCTTCCACAGATGCCACAGAGCCCAGGTAATCCATTGTCAAAGGATGACTTTCAGAATACAGAAACTGATGTTACTTGACTTCTCTTCTCTATGATCACTAAGAAGATGGAAGAGAGATTAGTGCTGCTAACTTGTTGCTGATGTTAGCTGCTACCTCGAATATAGTGCATCTTAAGTATCAGAGGGGTAGCCGTGTTAGTCTGTATCCACAAAAACAACGAGGAGTCCTGTTCAGGTTGGGGGGCTGTCTATAAGCGAGGATTGGCCTGCCTCCCAAGGCCTGTGAGAGTGGGGGATCGTTTTCCAGGATAGGTTGTAGATTGTTGATGATGAGCTGGAGAGGTTTTAGCTGGGGGCTGTACATGATGGCCAGTGGTGTTCTGTTATTTTCCTTGTTGGGCCTGTCCTGTAGTAAGTGACTTCTGGGTACCTGTCTCGCTCCGTCAGTCTGTTTCCTCACTTCCCCAGGTGGGTATTGTAGTTACAAGAATGCTTGATAGAGATCTTTTGTAGGTGTTTGTTTCTGTCTGAGGGATTGGAGCAAATGCGATTGTACAGCCCGCTGCTAAAACCTCTCCAGCTCATCATTAACGATTGACAACCTATCCTGGAAAACGATCCCCCACACTCACAGGCCTTGGGAGGCAGGCCAATCCTTGCTTACAGACAGCTCCCCAACCTGAAGCGAATACTCAGCAGCAACTACACACCACACCACGCCACAGAAACACTAACCCAGGAACCAGTGCCTGTAACAAACCCCGTTGCCTTCTCTGTCCCCATATCTACTCTAGTGACACCATCATAGGACCCAGCCACACCATCAGAGGCTCATTCACCTGAACACCTACTAATATGATATATGCCATCATGTGCCAGCAATGCCCCTCTGCCATGTACATTGGCCAAACCGGATAGTCTCTAGGTAAAAGGATAAATGGACACAAATCAGACATCAGGAATGGTAACATACAAAACCCAGTAGAACATTTCAATCTCCCTGAACACTCAAGAACAGATTTAAAAGTAGCCAGTCTTCAACAACAACAAAAACAGACTTCAAAGAGAAACTGCAGAGCTACAATTCATTTGCAAACTTAACACCATCAATTTGAGTGGTTGGCTCACTACAAAAGCAATTTTTCCTCTCTTCGTATTGATACTTTCTCATCAATTATTTGGTGTGGACCACATCCACCCTGATTAAATTAGCCTTCAACATTGGTTTGCCACTTGTAAGATAACTCCCTTCTCTTCATGTGCCAATATATATTTATGCCTGTTTCTGTAATTTTCACTCCATGCATCTGAAGAAGTGGTTTTTTTACCCATGAAAGCTTATGCCCACATAAATCTCTTAGTCATTAAGGTGCCACCGGACTCCTCATTGTTTTAGTGCATCTTAAATTATTCATATGTCTTTCTGAAGAAAATAGTTTTATCTTCTAGAAGGAAAGAGGATAATTTACTTTGAGAGTAAGGTTCTTTGGTGTAATCATCGATCCTTTATGCTCTCATTTTAATTACAAGCATGATACAGCCACAGGTAATTTCTGTCACAGTGCATACATTATTAATGTATGTTGTCATTTCTTATTAAAAGTGTGTTTAATCACTAGACTACCAAAAATACACACAATCATATTAAGTGCATGAAACAAGGTACTTATAAATCCACTTTGTACTCTCATAAAACCATAAAAATCACAATTTTGGTATGTTTGGGATGTTTTTGTATCTATATTTTGTGATATTAAGACCTGAAGGAAATTAGAGCAATGCATTGTAAATTTGGGAAACCAGGACTCAGTTGCTATTGATAATATTGCATCAGAACAGAACAAAACTATTTATAGATCCTTTCATCTGAGGGTCTCAGAGTATTTCACAAATAATAGTTAAAACAAAAGTCACCATCCATGCAAGGTCAGCGAGTGGTATTATACCTATTTACAGATAGGGACACCAAGTCATGGAGAAGTGAAGTGACTTGTCCAAGGTCACTTAGCCCCCAGTCCTGCAGACAATCATGCATATGCACCACTTTAAACATGAGTGTAACTCTTTGCAGGATCAGGACCGTAGCTAGTCTTTGTCAGAGCTGGGAATAAAACACAGATGTTCTGATTCATATGCCTCTCTTCTACCTCTGAGAATCACACTGTTATTTATTACTTATAAGAAGCTTAAGAAATACTTGGGAAAGATCAGTGTAGATATTACAATAGTCAGTTAACAAGCTTACATTTTCAGTCTCCATCTGTAATATTAAATATTGCTAATCAAAAGAACCACACATTCTTATTCTTGTAACCTTTCTCCTCCCCTTCTCTCTCTTTCCCATGTCTTTTCTCTGTCTCTAAAGTGCCTAGCACACTATGAGTGCTATGTGCTGAAAAAATACATCTGTAGATGCCAAATTTAATACTCACATACAGGAGGCTTCAGTTTAAAAGCTGATATAGGCACACGTGTGTGGGTGAACAAAATTTTTGGTACTCTCTTGAGGGGATCTGGAGTCCTGCTGTCCCCTGCCCCAATGGTGTCCTTAGGAGAAGACTCATCTGTCTTGACAATGGCCTGGGATTTTGATGGTTAATTCCCAGCCAGAGTCCAGAGACAGCTCAGGGAGACACTCACAGCTGGGAACTAATTAGGTGCAGCTGAATCTATTTAGGTTCAGTATGTTAGAGGTTCTGTCCAGACTAGGAAAACAAGGTATGTTTAAAAGCATGTTAGCTAAGACTTTTCAACTAACATGCTTTAAAACATTAGAATAAACAAAAAGCAGAGCGCAGTGCACACAATATGAAAAAAGGGACACTTTCTACCAAATTTTTGCCATACAAAAGAATCTCTATTGCAGTGAAGAGTTCTGTTATTTAACATCCTTAATGACTTGACAGTTTTGGGAAAGGTGGGTTTGTTTGTTTTTTGTTTGGCAAGGTGGAATTTAGGTTTTTAATATCATGGAGTTTTTTGTTTGTTTGTTCTGAAAAGTAGATTGTCCAAAAGCTGTTGGATGGGAGAAAAACCAAAAAGGAGGCATGGGTCCAAGAATGGTTAATCTCAGCGAATGTATGGATCCTAAAAGGTATGTGGTGGTTTAAAAACATTTATAATCTGATCAGGCCTGAAATATACCAGGCTTTGAGGGTATGGGGAGCGAGAATGTAAGGTCCAAAGACTACCTGGATCTTAAATGTGCTTTCTCAGATATAAGAAAATATAGTTGTGACAATGTTAGTGCCCAATCCTGCCATCCATTTTTACCAGGTGCAATGCATACTCCCATGGAAGGCCCCATTGACCGTGGAACTTCTCAGAGTAGAAAGCACCATGCCTAGTAATAAGTGCTTCCAGGATGGGGCACTAATTTGGAAATCCAGATTAGTTACTTTTTAAAGTTAAGTTGAATGCAAGCTGTATTTCTATGTACCTGAGTTTCTGTGCTTAGACCTATGTTTGTATTGTTGAATTCTGTGACTTTACTTCTTGTCCTTTTTAGTTTAACTTTATCAATGCAGAGTCACAATGTACTTAATGGCTGGCAAGACATAAGAACAGGTTGACTGCTGTAAAGAATGTGGCCTTGGTAACTTCCATCATTGTGCCCTTAGGTTTTGATTGTTGGGTGCAGAATGCTCCTGTGAGAAGGTACATGCCCTCAACTCCTGCTGAAGTCAGTGGAAGTTGAGGGTGTTTAGCAGTATACCTTGCAGTATTGAACAGTTTTAATTTTATGGATAGTTTTCCACTCCCTCTACCTCTGAGTTGTACAAGTGAATGATGGAAGAGGTAGAAAAGATGCACATAGCCCTTCCTGAAGAGAAGCTGGAAGAGGCAAAAAATGAGTGTATGATGCATAGCTGTACAAAATGACTGGATGTAAGTACAGCTTAGTGGAGCCCTCTGCAAAGAAGAGGTGATAAAAACAAATCAAGCCTTACGTGAGACTGAAAGAGGGGACCATGCTGAGTGTAAGGAGGGCTGGTTCTGGCAGAAAGAAGTCTCCTGTATATGTTATGTGTCATTTATCTCCCTCATGAATAAGCTGCTGTGATCTGCTCTGCTCAGAACTTTAAAAGCCTGATACATTGACCAGCCAGCAAATCCAACATAGGCTGCAAATGAAACTGGTTAACTGCTTTGGTATCCTTTAAAGCGTCCACACAGCAATCAATACTGCACTCTGGAGGAAAGGCATGTGTAATAATTCTTGTGCAGTGTGACGGTGACTGGCTGAGGGGCATCAGAGAAAGAATTTAACAATTACCTGTGGCATTTGGATGGAATCTGAGGTGAAAGGTCACGTCTCATTTTCAAACTTGGGTCAGAGGCTGTTCACCTTGGAATATAAAATGTGGGTTGGCATCTTATCCAGCAGACTTTACGGGCCTGATCCAATTCCATTAACTTCCATGGACTTTGGACTTAATCCAAAGTAATTAAATTATTTTCCCCCACCTTCCCCTGCAGCATGGGATGTGGATTACCTGCTAGAATCATCTGGGGATATATCACCTCATCACTTCCCTGCCTTTGCAGAGGCCTTGAGCATTGATGGCATCGTGATCTCTCCTGTTTTCTGCCTGTGGCACCTGAGAATTGAAATGCTTCACTCCAACTAGTGTGACTGGGCTTAATATAGGAGTACTTGAGTGAACTATATAATGATCTGTGCTATTCAGGAGGTCAGACTGGATGATCTAATGCCCCTTCTGCACTTAAACTCTATGAAACTAAATGTCATTTTCATGGACTGCCTTTTTTGGTTTATTACTTATGGGCCTCTGGAGTATATGATTTTTCGTAGCATGAAGTATATGTTTAATGGCAATCTTGTCAAATACCTAGGGAGTAAGTTTTTAAAAATAGGACAATTACTGATTGTCTTGTTGTTCTTGTTTCAGCATCTTTCTAATTCATTTGTAAGAACCACAGTAAACATTTTTATAAAACTTTATTGCGTTACTGTTTTTGGCGTATTGATTGTTATATGAGATGACAATAGGATAGAATGTCAAAATTTGTGTAGGTAAATAATGCTGCTGGCACAACACTTCATCTTTACCTCCTTTTTTTTATTACTATATATTTGATTAGCAAAAGGTTTAGTAGAATTTATGCATAGTATCTTTAAGAATTCTCTACAAGGGCCAAAGTATATGAGAGTAAATTGCATGGACTGATTAACGTCAAATCCGTTGACAAGGTTCTTTATTCATAGCAGGGAGTGTTGTGCAGAAGCAGACTCCGTGATTTTTACTTTTCATTTTAAGTATTCTTAGAGATGCTCATACTGTATACTGCTTTAGCTATTTCATTAGCTAGTGCAATGTTTCCCAACCTTGGATGTGGTCCTCTAAAGATCATTTAGATACAGATATGCAAAATAAATTGATTTCTCTGTTGTATATCTGCATTTAGCTCTGTAGTATCTAGGCACAGGTGGCTGTGAGAGGAAGAGCTTGCATGTAGCCTGCTAGCCCAAGCTTTTCCATTTTGCATCCGTGCTGCTTGGGTTAGTCAAGTGAGCGCATGCACCCTTCAGTAGAGAACCTTCAAAGGTGGTTATCTTCTTTTTGCCTGTAGAGAAGGATGATCCATTGGTTAGGATGCTAGCCTAACACCCAAGAGACCCAGGTTCAATTCCCTGTTCCGCCACAGACTTCCTGTGTAATTGTTGTGACTTATTCTCTGTGTGCCTCAGTTCCCCATCTGTAAAATGGGGATAATAATACTTTCCTACCTAAACGATAAATACAATAAGGATTATGACTAAATATAGGCTAAGTACATTCAGGATTGTGATGTAATCAGATACTTCGTTGATGGGAGACATGTAAAGACCTCCGACAGACAGAATGTAGTCTTGTGGTCTGCTGGGCAGGAGAGAAGGGGACTGAAAAACAAAAAAGTCAGTGAAGAATAAATTTTAAAAAATATAGAGAAAAGACCGTGTTTAAAAAGAGAAAAAAAACTGAACTGAGATCAAGTGGACAGAAAAAGAGAGAGATGATAGCAGCTGCTGGGGTATATCATGAAGGGATATGGGGCAATGAGTGGGGGGAGCTCCAGTCCTTCCACCTCCCTCCTCCCCCCCCCAAAACATAAATAAAAATTGAGAACCAGTGCTTAGTTGGAACAAAAGGCCAATGCTGCATTAGAGAGTATTCAGGAATGATGTTGTTGTTTGTTTTTATTTCACTATATAGGTTAGCTGAGTCGTCTGTGGATCTTAACCTTAAATTGATGTGCTGGCGGTTGGTGCCTACTCTTGACCTGGAGAAAGTTGTGTCTTCTAAGTGTCTGCTGCTAGGAGCTGGTACGCTGGGTTGTTGTGTAGCCAGAACCTTAATGGTAAGTACAAGAGTTACTCCTGAAGGTGACCTGCTGTCTCTCATAAAGGTTGCTTTTTTCATCCTTGTGCTAAAGAATGGAAGAATACAATGAAATCAACATGTGTATGTTATGTGTGTGTATCACAGAAATATTGCAGTTCTATGTGTTTTTTTTTTTAAATTAAAAACTGCCCATGTACAAAGTGCAAATTTGTCTTGAATAAAATAACAAATAAGTTCACAAAATCAAATTCAAACCAAAATATTTGAAATAAATAATTGTGTCAGTGAGAGACAGTTCAGTGTGATCAAAAGGAATTTTACTATAGGTAGCTTCTAAAACTGTAATAACTTAATCTGCAGTTAATCGTAGAATTTGAATTGTGAACAAAAGTCCACTTATGCTTTTAATGCTATAGACTCAAAGGGGTTTCTGTTACATCCTTTGAACCAAAGTCTTACAGTGTTAAATTAGTCATTGCCAATTACTTGGATTTTTTGTTTGTTTAGGGATGGGGAGTCAGACAGATCACATTTGTGGACAATGCAAAAATCTCATATTCCAACCCTGTACGGCAGCCTCTATACGAGTTTGAAGATTGTCTCGATGGTGGGAAGCCTAAGGCACTTGCGGCAGCAGACAGACTGCAAAAAATATTTCCAGGAGTGGTAAGTAAAATATTTTGGTGGTTATATCTCAACATATTGAGAAGACAGCTGGCCTTAAATAGCTCCATAGTATTCCTTTGCTCTGCTCATGTTAATGCTTAAAAAGAAAAGGGGAGCAGAAAACTAAAATGCAAGGAAACAAAGTTTATACTGCAGTCACTGGCGAACTGTAGGAGCTGTATTCACATGCAGGGTGCAAGGGAATGAAACTTGTGGCAATAAAAATAGGCAACAAGATGAGTTCTAAGGGCTCATCTCAACTTCCTTTCCACAGAGTCACAGTAAACAAATGTTCTCCAGTTTCTCTTCTGTGGTGTGTTTTAATGTGCTCTCAGAAATGGCTGATTTTGGAACAGTTCCACTGAATGCATTTAAAAGCCCTGAGCGTTTCACACAATCTTGAGGCTCTATCCATGTTCCCCTTTTCAGTCACATGTAAATAGTTTGGTGTTTAATTACTTATGCACTTGAATTTTTCTTTCATTTTTAGACAATTAACACAAATCTTGGTTATTGCCCAAATCTGTCTCCATTCATTGTCTGACATTTTCTCCTGCCGGACTTTCAAGTAATCATTTTTCTGGTACTAACATCTATTTGCAGTTTGCTATAGAGAGAAGTCTGTATTATATTTTCACAAGTGCGTCTAAGACCATTGCTGTTGTTCCTTAAATGTCTGATGATTTTCAACCTGTTGAAAAGCCAGAGAATTACCATTGGTGGTGTCTGTTCTGAAATTACAGATTGGAAATTACCAGAGTGGGGGGCTAAAAAACTAGAGGTATTGTATGTGTTCTGCTATCAAGCTTGGGAATTCTAGATAAAATATAATTAACAATATAGGCATCAATCCTGAAATAAGATTGCATGTGAGCAGACCCCTGTGCCATCAGTGGGACTTTTTATGGTGGCATGGGTCCATTCATGTGCATCCAATGGCCAGTGGGGCACAGGTTAGCACCATATTTTCCCAGATGTTTTAGGCAGAGTTTGGGTAAACTGGTAAAAAGTTAGGTTATCCCAGTCTTCCTACCACCTAATTCCCGAACTAGAAAGGACTCTTTTACCTGCACATCTTTAATAAGACAATCTTATTTTAAGATAATTTCCATCATTTAGAAAGATGCAAATCTTTCACCTTTATCTGATAATGGTGCCTTTGGACTGAAATGACCTAGTGTTCTAGAGATCACCACAAGAGAACATTATTCATATCTTGTGAATAGTAAAGCTTTTTTTAAAGTGTGAAATAGTATTATCCTGATTCCAGGTGTGAGAGCAAACTTCTGTATATTTTTAATGTCCCCTGTTGTCCACATTTTGCTTCTATATTATTTTGTAAGATTGATATTGAACAATTAGAAGTAGAATTTGGCCAATAATAGGGATTACTCAGGTATTCATTTCACGTGGATCCATGTAATTTAAAACATTGTTCTCAAAAGCGGTCTCGTCTCGTCTCTTAAATAGTCTGTAATGCTCCATTTATACTTCAGATGTCTGTATTTCTTCTTGGTTTAGCTGCTGCAAGTAATGACTTTTTTCTGAATCCCATAACCATGTGGGCTTTTCAGATATTTTTCTCATCTTGAACTGTGTCCTTAATATCTTCAAATTATGTCAGTACTCATTATTACTTTAATGAATTCAGCTTCCTGTATGCTTGAAACTATTAACAATTCTGCACACTGTATCCATTGTGGCCTTGTCTAGAGGGCTGTGCCCTGTTCGCTCTGATGTCCCAGCTGACTTCCATTATGTTATTAACATGAGGTGAGAGAAGGTGGCCTTATGACAAAGATAATTAAGAATATCCTGTTTTTGTAAGGAACGTGACAAGCTGAATTGTGAAAATGTCTGTTAGACTTTGGCATTTCCCCCTCACTACTCTTTGGTTTTAGGCCAGAGACTAAAAAGTCTGGTGGAAATGTGAGGCCTGGCTCCTAAAGGATGTCCCTTGTTTTAGGTATCAATTTAGTATTTTGAAACTGAACATGTGAACGTAAGATACTGAGCAGACAGTTGGTGAAGGGTGGATACTTTTAATAAAATTATTCATGTGTCCCAAGACCTGTGGAGGAGCAGGGTAAGAAATGTGCATACACACAGTGGCTATGCAGATTTCCATAAGAGATCAGCACTCGCATCTGGATCCAGATTTTCAAAAGAGCTCATCACATCGGATAGCAAATTCTTTTGTAGATCTGGCCATGACTGTGACAGTAGAAGCTGCAGAGCACATCTGAATATCTGGTCCTTTGTGGGTATACAAGCAATGTTGGAGTGGGCAGTGGGCAATTCTGACACATGACTTATGCTGTCTTGCCTCCTGTTTTCTACAGAATCCTGCAGAAAGGAATTAACTATGGGAAAATATTGCTGTAAATGTATGTTTGAGATAATTAAACTTCACATTTGACTTTATGTGATATCCAACCAATCATGTAATAATTCTTTATATTAATGTATTCAACTCCTTTTCTAATTATTATTAATTTCTCCTATCCACCTTCATTATTAATAATAAAAATAAGGATGTTTTAAATATTACTGAGAAGCATAAACTGTGTGACATTGCTCTGTTACAGCTGCTCATACCCTACCCCATTAAGTAGACCTTATAAAGAAGCTTCTTTCTAAATGTTTTGGAGATATGTTTTAATTATTCCAAGGACTAAAATACTCAGCTGTACCAGCATATTTCTGTTCTGCTTCTATTTCTTGATTGTAAAGCCATAATTATTCATCAAATTCTCTACTGCCACTTAACCATAGTAGTAAATTTGGCAATAGATTTGAGATGAGTTATCTAATTATGAGAAATGAAAGCTATATTTGTATTTTATTTTAACTCTTGGGTTGCTACATATGTTTACATGCATCCCATTATTATTATTATTATTTATTATTTATTTTGTTGTGCAGTACCACCTGGAGCCTCAAGCATCTGTAGTTCCATTGTGTCAGGCACTATACAGCCACATAGGAAATGACAGCCTCTGCCACAAAGTCCTTATGAGCTAAACCTTACCAACAACTTTTTTGTGTCTGGCAAAATGGGAAAATACACAAATATTATACCACATGAGTCTGTAATAATTCTATAGCTCTCATAATAGTACTTTTTAAAATAAAACAAAACAAACACTTTGCCAGTGAAAGGAAGCACAAATTTGCTTTTGTTCAGATATAACACTTGAGCAAAACTTGTCTCTTTATACACACAAGGACTTTCCTGAGTAAACATTTCACAGTTGTTTGATTTGTTTGTTTGCTGCTTTGATTCCACCCCTCTCCCCCGGCTTTATTCCAGGCAAAAGCAGTGTTTTTAAATGCTGCCCAGTATTATAGAAGTGCTGCTGCACCAATATAGTTAAGTTTGCATCATGACTTCTGTTTAAAAGTTGACCTAAGTCCTCTTAAAAAATGGCACAATTAGTTGGATTCCTTTGAAATTGTGTGTGCTTTAGGAGGGTGCTGAATAGGGTTAGTGTCCCGAATATGGGGTTATTTGAGCTGGGGGGAAAATTCAGAGTTTCATTTAACAGACCAATTAGGTTAATGCAGAAATCCTGCTTTATCTCTCTTTTTTTCCAAAGGGTTTCACCTGTGACACTATCCTGTAGCTTAGATTTTATTTATGGTCCACGTCAGAAGTAAGCATTTATTTTGGTGATGAGGGGGAATATGAATTCTGTGAGGTGGGAATTAGAAATGCTACTAAAATGACAGTGTTCCTGAAAAATTAATCCGAGCCTTCAGAAGAGGTGGTGGCTGTGCCAGAAATTATATTTGATTAAGATTAGCTTTCTGTTCTTAAGAATATGATAGTTGGAACTAGATATTAAAAAAATTGACCAGCTGTGAAGAAAAGTGTTGGAGACTCCAGCATGTATTACTCATTTTATCTCATTCTTCCTGTAGAAAAGTATGTGTGTGACATCTTTAAAACCCTTCCTATCTGTACATCCCAGCCTCCTGCTACTGGAATTGGAGTCCAGCTACTTGTGCTGGGGTCTGAGCACAGCTGCCAAGATTTTAAAATAAATTTTGCGAGGGATAATTATTTAAATAAGACGAAAGTCTGTGGAGACACTTGACATGCACATGCTTACTATCACCACCCGGATACTGGAGAGTTTTTGTGCATTGTGGTGGATTTGAGCATTTTACAGATCTTAACTACTGAATCATCACAACCTTCTAGTGAGTTACCTATTATTACACCTATTTTGCAGATGGGAATGTGATGGCAGAAAGGGTCAGTGCCTGATTTCAAGAGAGGCAGAACACTCGAATCTCCCATTGACTTCAACTTGAGTTATGGGCACTTTTACAAGTTAATTCCTAAGTGCCTTCGTTGACTTCTTGTCAAAGCTGTGATTAGCATGCAGGCATCTCTTATCCTTGTGCTTAACCCACTACACCATTTTGCTTTCAACTCCATTGAGTTTCCTGAGAGAGAGATCCTGCAGGGGCCCCAGTGCTATCAGCAGCCCTTCCATGGCTGTGTACGGATCTGGGTTCCGTCCAAGTATCAAAGGACTCGAAGCCATGGTTTTCAGACCCAAATGGTTTGCATCACTTTACATGTTCACGGAGATCTTCAAGAAAAGAAGAATTAAAAATTCACCACCTTAAAAACTAAACACAAAAAATGCTTTAAGATTCTCCTTTTAATGGTGAGGTTCCCCTCAATTGGGGAAGGGGAAGGAACCACAGCTACAGACATTGCCACCTCTATATTTTTGGCAGTACCATTTTCTTAATTTAAAGTGATATTGTTTTAAAAGCTAGCATGGGTGTGGAGCTAAAATGTATATCATTATTATTAATTATGGTAGTGCCTGAGGGCCAACCCAAGAGTGGGGTCCCATTGTACTAGGCACTGTACAAACAGCAATAGACAGTCCTTGCCCACAACACACACAAGCAGAGTAAACAAAGTGATGGAGACAAACGTGAGAGTTTGGAGGTTTTTTGAGGGGCAGAGGGCTTTG